GGAGGCGGAGGAGGAGGAGGAGGAGGAGGAGGAGGAGGAGGAGGAGCGGACGGGGAGCTGGAGGAGCAGGAGGAGGATGAGGAGGAGAAGGAGGAGGAGGCGCAGGGGTAGCAGGAGGGGCAGCGGGACGAACAGCAAGACCAGGGGAAGGTGGAGGAGGATACAGGAGGGGTGCTGCGTTGACGAGGACGACGCCGATCCAGAAATGTGGCCAACGCTGGTGCCAGGGCGCCATGTTGAACGACGGAGGCAAAACGCCGATCCTGAAATTTTGCCAGCGCTGTAGCGGGAGTTTCATTTTTGAAGAAGGCCGATAACATTTTGATTGGGAAGCAATATCGAAAGGCAACTCTGGACAACCCTGTGTAACACATTGCCCCAGCACAGCACCCTAATAGCAGCCAGTCGCAGCCATGTGCACCTTAGTGTTTTTCCTGTTGCTTATGGACCTTGGCCGTCGGACCGAACATGGCATTGGGGCGGGATCGCGATTCCTAAATTCATTATGAGGAAGTCTCAGGTGAAACGGCTGCCGGGCCAGTTGTCCTCGGGCTCCCCGTCCCCCCAGCGGGGCTCTTCTGTGGTATTTTTTACTTTTCTCTAGCGAAGCGCTGTTAGGGAAAGGTTCAGCCAGGATAGGAGTGAGAGCATGGCCAGGGGCTCCTAAGTTTTGTACTAGGGATCGCGGCCGTCTTGACCACACATGTGACCAGGATTCATGCGAGATCGAGATTCCTTCATCAATTACGGGGCGTCTCAGAAGAACCAGAGACTGAACGGGGTGCGAGGACGGTCATGCGCACTGGATTTTTGTTTGCAAATATAGGCAAACAGTAAGATTGTCGCCAGCACCGAGGCGAGAGCACCGTTTCTGATTACATGGTGGGGAAGTCTCGGGCGAAACGGCTGCTGGACCTGCTGCCAGACCGGGCGTCCTCGGGCTCCCCGTACCCCCTGTGGGACTTTGCGGTCCATCTCGATCGTCACCCCTTCTCGCCGAAAACGCTACTAGGGAAAAACGACATGCAGGATGAGCGGGGAAAGTGAAGACGGCATCAGGGGAGAGAGGCGAGTGGTATCCACATTGTTTGTGTAGAGAGAAGCGGCAATATATATATATATATATATATATATATGTAGAGAGAGATATAAAGAGAGGGCGGGGCCAGAAGGAGGGAAGGGTGGTAGGAGATCGGGAAGGGAGGAGCGGATTGGGGAGAGGGGGGTTGGAGGGCCGGGGGAGGAGCAGGAGGGGGGAGTGGAGAATGAGGGGGCGGGGTGAACGGCGATGGCGGAGTGGCCGCCCGTTGCTGCCTCGTGTCTGTTTCCTTGCCGCCTTTTGCGCTGGTGGGTCCGGCGAGGTCTCGCCACGCTGCCACCCGTTGCCGCCTCGTTGTCGCCTCGCTGCCGCTTCGCGCGCTGGGTGGGTCCGGCGAGGTCTCGCTCCGTTGCCGCTCGCAGGTCGGGGGAGGTTTCGCCAAGTTGCCGCCAGTTGCCGCCTCGTGCGCTGGGTGGGTCTGGTGAAGCTTCGCCACGTTGCCGTCCGTTGCCGCCTCTTTGCCGCCTCCAGCTGTAGCCACGCATACTGCACCACACTATTTTTCACCACAGAGCTTGCACCACATAGCTGACACATCCACAGTGTAATCACTTACTGTTTGGGCCCCCCGCAGGCTAGCATTGTATCCATCATTGTCGGCCACGGGTCTTCAACCTTCGCGTCTGGCGGCCAAAGAAAGGTTCAGTAGCACGACGAATATTTTCTGAGCGCCCATCTAAGATTTAAAGCAAACAGTGGCAAACAGACAATGCAAGAACGCCCGAGCACACAAGCAGCATGAAGCCAAAAGGATGACAAGCAACCAAGTCGTGCTAACATAGACCAGCGGCCAGTCAAACCGTGAAGCAATCGAGCAGGGGAGCGAGACCGAAACGGCGTGAGCTTGGGGCGCCGAGCTGGAGTGCGCCCCACTCGGCCCCCTCCCTCTTGTGGAGAGCACTCGCCTCCCGTGCCCGTGGGCCGCAGCCTCGGGTGGATCGTGGCCCTCCCGTGGCCTCCTCGTGCGCCCCTCGGTGGAGCCACGGAATTTCATGCCTCCATCTCCTCATCCATCTCCTCCCCCTCCTCCACCTCCTCCTCCTGCTTCTCCTCCTCCTCCACCTCCTCCTCCTCCTCCTGCTCCTCCCCCTCCTCCTCCACCTCCTCCGCCTCCTGCTTCTCCCTCTCCTCCTGCTCCTCCTCCTCCTTCTCCTCCTCCTCCTCCTCCTCGGGTCGCCTACGGCCCCGGGGGAAACTGTGCATGCTCGCGGGCGGAAGAAGCGCATCCGCATCCGCAGCCTTGCGGGCGGGGCCCCTGGGCCGCGACCCCGCGGGCGCGGCGCGTTTCCTCGCGGATGCCCCGCGCTGAATGTATCCGTGCGACCCTGCATCCGCGGGATCGCGCCCCAGCATGCAGGCCGCGAGGGCGCAGATCACATGGATGCGTTCGCCGCTCGTGGCCTGTCGTGTGTCTCTTGGCCGATGGCGGTGCCTCGTGATCCCTCTCGCTCCCCTCGCCTCGTGGGCAGGCGGGAAGGGCGCGGACTTCGAGGCGTCAGCCGACGTGGACTTTTACGACCCCGACGCGGGCCGCTGGCAGGCGCTGCCCGCGCTCCCCAGCCCGCGCCTGCGTGCGGCCGCGGCCAGCGGCCACCTCTGAGCCGCCCCGGCCCCCGGCGCCGGTGGGCGCATACTCCGCGGCTGGCGGCAGCTCGAGGAGACTCAGAGGAGGAAGAGGTACCCCTACCGTTAAGTCGGGCATGTCCTTCTACAGGAGGAATATCCAGAAATAGTCAGCAAAGTAGTCTGGGAACTATTTTTTGATAATTGTTTGAGTATTCCCCAAACAGCTTGCTGAAAGGGGTGCTGTTGTGATAGAAGCTAGCTCCGGCCGAGGGAATTCAAAGCAGAGACGTCCTCAAAAAAATGTGGTGGTCCGGGCCGTTTCGCCCGAGACATCCTCGCAACTCTCGTTTCTGAGTTGTCCGGGATTGGGCGTTTCGCGTGAGACATCCTCCAAATTCTGAGTTCCCAAATGCCGCGCAAGAGGTGGTCTGGCCCGTTTCGCCTGAGACATCCTCGAAACTCTGAGCTCCCAGATGCCGCGCGAGAGGTGGTCCGGCCATGTTCGCTCAAGACATCCTCGAAACTCTGGGCTCCGAGATGCCGCGCAAGAGATTGTCCGGCCCGTTTCGCCTGAGACATCCTCGCAACTCTGAGCTCTGATATGCCGTGCGCGAGGTGGTCCGGCCCGTTTTGCCTGAGACAGCCTTGCAACTCTGCGCTCTCTGATGCCGCGCGAGAGGTGGTCCAGCCCGTTTCGCTTGAGACGTCCTCCAAACTCTGCGTCCCGAGATGCCGCCCAAGAGGTGGTCTGGCCCGTTTCACTTGAGACATCCTCGAAACTCTGAGCTCTGATATGCCGTGCGCGAGGTGGTCTGGCCCGTTTTGCCTGAGACATCCTCGCAACTCTGCGCTCTCTGATGCCGCGCGAGAGGTGGTCCGGCCCGTTTCGCTTGAGACGTCCTCCAAAATCTGAGCTCCCAGATGCCGCGCGAGAGGTGGTCCGGCCCGGTTCGCTTGAGACATCTTTGCATGTTTGCATCCCGAGATGCCGCGAGAGGTGGTCCGACCCGTTTCGTGTGAGACATCCTCGAAACTCTGAGCTCTGAGATGCCGCGCGCGAGGTGGTCCGGCTCGTCTCGCCTGAGACATCCTCGAAACTCTGAGCTCTGAGCTGCCGCGCAAGAGGTGGTCCAGCCCATTTCGCCTGAGACATGCTCGCAACTCTGACCTCGGAGATGCCGCGCGCGACGTGGTCCAGCCCGTTTCGCCTGAGACATCCCGCAACTCTAAGCTCTGAGATGCCCTGCGCGAGGTGGTCCAGCCCGTCTCGCCTGAGTCATCCTCGCAACTCTGAGCTCTGAGATGCCGTGCGCAAGGTGGTCCAGCCCGTTTCGCCTAAGACATCCTCGCAACTCTGAGATCTGAGATGTCGTGCAAAAGGTGGTCGAGGCAGCCTGGGGGCCCAGAAGACCGCATGTTACATATCCCCCCTGGGACCCTGGGAGCCCCAGGAGGCCCCAGAGAGCATCAGGAGGCCGCAGGACGCCCAGGACAGGCTCCAGGGGTCCCCAGGAGATTCCCAGGAGGCTCCTAGGAGGCCCCAGGAGGCCCCCTATCAGAACGTGTCAAGTTGATACGCATCTGGTGTGGATTTGTTGATTTTCCTGCTCTTGTGGCCCCCCCCCCCCATTCGGGGGGCCCAGACGGCCACATGTTAGTCCCCCCCTGGGAGCCCCAAGAGGCTTCGGGAAGCCCCAGGTAGGGTCCAGGAGGCCACAGGACGCCCAGGAGGAAGCCCCAGGAGGTCCCCAGGAGGCCCCAGGAGGCCCCAGGAGGCCCCAGGAGGCCCCCGCAACTCGGAGCTCTGAGACGCCGCGCTCGAGGTGGTCCGGCCCGTTGCGCTTGAGATTTCCTCGCAGCACGTTTCGCCCGAGTCATCGTCGCAACTCTGGGGTCCGAGATGCCGCGCACGAGGCCGCACTGGCATGTGATCATGTTCTAACATGCCATGCCAGCCCGCAATGGACGGACACGCAATCGACCTTGGAAACCGCAGTGGGTTTAAAAACCCTGTTTTGGGATACTGCATTCCTGCTATAATTTTAGGGGTATGTTTTGAATATCTTTTTTTTGTCCCCCAAGGTCTGCCTGTAGGGGGACATGCCCGACCTAAACCTACCGCTGCCCCTGCCTCGTGTTCCCATTGTTGGGGCCTCCTGGGAGGCCCTCGTCGCCACCGCTGCGTTCGCCTCGAAATCCTGGTCAGAGCGCGCCCTGGGAGAGGTCTGGGGAGCAGCGGCATCGGTACCTTTTAGTTCCCCCAGAGAAGGCGAAGGCTGGGGCCGTGTCTCATCGAGCACAAAAGAACCCCGAACCTTAGTAACACGATGAAGACGTGGCCTCACTGAGGTCCCCGTCTTCGCAAGAGGGATACTAGATCTAGATGGTTTGTTTGATACATCTTCAGAAAAGATCACCTATCCCTAATGTTTTCGATCCTCCAAACTTATGTCCCCTCCCAAATGGTTAGGGGTGGTGGAGGGTTTCTCCGAAGGGCTTAGGCGACCCCTCCTCCTCCTCCTCCTCCTCCTCCTCCTCCTTCTGCTCCTCCTCCTCCTCCTCTTCCTCCTCCTCCTCCTCCTCCTCCTCCTCCTTCTCCTCCTCCTCCTCCCCCTCCTCCCCCTTTTCCACCTCCTCCACCTCCTCCTCCTCCTCCTCGGGTCGCCTACGGCCGGCCCCGGGGGGAACCGTGCAATTAGGGGTTCTTGTTTGGTTAGTCAATGTCGGCTGCGGCGGGTGCGGGTGCGGGCCCCAGGCTCCCAGGCGGCTTCCGGTTGCCTCCAGCTTCTTTGATGTCTCCAGGCAGCTCGCGACGTCCCTGGATGGAGGGTTTCTCCGAAGTGCTTAGGCGACCAGTCCTCCTCCTTCTCCTCCTTGTCCTCCTCCTCCTTGTCCTCCTCCTAATGCTCCTCCTCCTCCTCCTCCTCCTCCTCCTTCTCCTCCTCCTCCTCCTCCTCCTCCTCCTCCTCCTCCTCCTCCTCCTCCTCCCCCCTCCCCCTTCTCCACCTCCTCCTCCTCATCCTCCTCCTCGGGTCGCCTACGACCCAGGGGGAAACCGTGTAGCCCTGGTAGCCTCCCTGAGCAGGGAAGTTTGCTTGCGAATTCGGAGGGCCTCGCCTATCCCCCAAACTGGTGTCTTATCTTGTGCCCGACGCGGGCTCGATGCGGACTCGGCACGGATAGGGCCGCAACGGGACAGGCAAGGTCCCCCGAAGATGCAACATAAGGAGGTAAGAGTCTTGGCGTGCGCGAGGGCGGGCGAACGTATCAAATTAGATGCAGGCTTTCAGGCATGAGTAGCAGACGCGCTTGACGCGCGACGTTGGTTGGTAAGGTTGCAGGACCATGGTGAGTTGGACTCCCCAGGAATGAACGCGAAGCGCCGGCAGCTTTATAGCATGCTGTCTCCGACAGCAGCTGCAGGCGCATACGCATAGTGGAATTCGAACCTTGACCAGATGTCCAGCCGCCTCTGCTGTTGGCTACTGGTAGGCCAGGATTTTGGGTGCTGTTCCTGCGGCCTTGCTTACGAATATTCCCCAGGCGCTTGCGCACTGCAGCCGAGTTCCTCGCTTATTATCCTAGGGCTTTCGCATGCACTGTGGCGCTTGGGCTCTACGTGCAAGTCGCATCGGCTGCATGGCAGGTGCGCGCATGAGAGGGCACGGCTCCCTGACGACAAGCGCATCCGATGAAACGAGTGTCAGCGGCGTTTGGGTTCGGGAAGGACGGGGGATCCCCGTCCCGCCATTGCGCGCGATGGATGGAGAGGGATTCCGTCCCTGTCCCCCCTCTCTCGTCCTTCTCCTTCATTTCAAGTTTCTGTCGGCAATCGTATTGCCATTGCCAGGGTGGCCAAGTCAGAATCCAATCAGCATGCTAGCCAGCGTGACTTCCAAACGCCGATTATCACAGGAGGTGTCAGCACGCTATGCGGTGTATGCTATGTGGCGTAAGCTATGTCGTTTCGGCTATGCGGTGTGAGCTGTCGAGCTGAAAGCTGTGCGGTACAAACTAGCTTGTGTAGCATACATCGTGTAAGCCACGTCGTGTGAGCTGGAGGTGAACGCCATGCGGTCTAAAGCGTGTCGTGTAAGCTATACTGCGTAAGCTATGCGGTGTAAGCTATTTGTGTGTAACTTAGGTCGTGTACACTATGCGGTGCAAGCTAGGTGCTGCCTGCTCAGAGCACGGGACGCCCACGAGCGCCCACGAGATGGCACGGGCGGCAACGTGGAGCAACTTCAACAATCCACCCAAGCGCACGAGGCGCCCACGAGCGCCCACGAGTGGGCACGGGTGTGCAACGTGGCGCAACCTCGCCACACACTCCCCCCTCAGCGCACGGGGCGCCCACGAGCGCCCTCGAGGCTTCACGGGCGGAAGCGTGACGCAACCTGGGCAGCAACTCCCAGCGCTCGGGGCGCCCACGAGCGCCAATGAGGCGGCGCGGGCGGAAACGTGGCGCAACCTCGCCAACCCCTCCGCAGCGCGCAGGGCGCCCACGAGCGCCCACGAGGCGGCACGGGCGGCAGGGTTGCGAACACCCGGAGTACCCAATGAATTATGCAAGAAAACAGTAGCCAGCGTGGACCCCACACGGCGTGCCTCTAGCATTCTATGTGGTGCAACTTGTGTGGAGCTGTATCTGTCGTGATATCTATGTGGCGCAATCTATGGTGGTTGTGCAGTACATGGTGTGCAACCTGTTTGCTCAACATGTACGTTGTAATACATGTATGTATGTGTGTGATATAAAAAAAACGTGTGGTGCTACGCGTCGGGTGCAATTTATGTGGTGCAGCAGAAGTGAGGCAATCGGTCTTGTGCAAACAGGAGGTGCAATTCACGTGGTGCAACCTATGTGGTGCAATTAATTTCTGTTCGCAGTGAGTTGTCCACTCCACTGCTCGCGCAAACATCCCACCCACCCGCCCGCAACTTGGTTTGCAAAATCTCTTAAAACCGTGACGGTGGGTACCACATGGCACTTGGCAACAACAGCGACGCCGACGACGACAGCGACAACGACGA